TTTTTATGAGACAGTATTTATGGCATACACTCAATGGCATTGCTTTGGTTATGGGCACTTCAATCACATCACTTGATCCCAACAAAGGATGTTCCCCCTATCCAATTTTAGTGGTGCATTCGGGCAGCTGAACTCTGTTTGCCACTGGCCATGCATAGTCCCAGCACAGTAACTAAATTATTAGCCACTCGCAAGGGGTTAGACATACACACACACACACCAAACACACACACACACACACGCCAAAAATACACTCACATATATGCACGATGCGATTTATGTGGCGCTCGTCGTCGAGTGTCTACGCCCTTGGGAATATTCCACACATCATAAAATTTATGAGCACTGCGTAAATGTGTTAAAATTTTATGCCTTTTTGTGGTTGTTGTTGTTCAAGTTAGGCAACCGAGTTACACTCCAAGACAGTGCAGAAGTAAGAATATTTATGCATAGAGTGCTCAACTTCGTAATACCCAGCACAGAAACTATGAAGCTTGCTGCATTTATTATAGTATAGTATATGCATAATATCGGTTTTTATGCTCTTGTAGAGGATATTATAATTTTGTCATGCAATGTGTAACGCATAGAAGGCGGCATCCCATAACGCATATTAATCAGCATCAAATACTAGATCAGCATCAAAAGTCAAGTGTATATGGCCATGTTCGTCTGTCCGTCTGTCTGGCCTTCTGTTTCTATGCGAACTAGTCTCTCAGTTTTGAAGCTATCGTCTTGAAACTTTATATTTCCGCACTTATTTTGCAGGCAGTACATATATCAGAGCCGGCCGGATCGGACCACCATATCATACAGCTGCCATGGGAACGATCGGTCCCAAAGAAGGTTCGTATATGAACAACTTTTTCCGTTACCAAGATATGTTACCCAAGCTCGGCATTTATAAGTTTTACTATGCCCTCTATATATCTGCAAAAACTTATCTACATCAGACCACCATATCATAAAGCTGCTATAGGAAAGATCGGTCGAGTAGTAGGAACTTTTATAGCAAGATATTCTGTTTTCAAGCTCAAAATTTACGAGCTTCACGCTGCTCACATATTTGCAAAAGGGAAATGTCTACAAGGGTATTAAATCTTCGGCGTGGCGAAGATATTCCTACTTTCTCGTTTTAATTTATTTCTTTTGAGAATAAATAAGATTATATTGCTTGCCAAAACGGAGCATATACTGGTTGTATTTGTCGAAAAACTACTTTGCCCTTAAACCTTTCAATAATTTTCATTAGAGTGCTAACATTCCGAAAAAGAATTAAACACTTTGTTTTTACTTTCATTTTACTTCAAATTCGCATTCCACTTTATCTATAAAGAACACATAAATGTGTTTTAGACATATCTGTGGGCTTCATGTGTTATCTAGTTCCATAAATATGCAATAAATTTACTAAATTAAACTTTTAATCATTTGCGGTTGGTGTTAAATATCATTAACAATGCGTGTTGAAAGGGCCTTATAATTATTAGGAGCATTCCTGATATGTGGTTAAAGTGCTTATTATAATGGGAATTCACATGCCTAATTACAACGTCTTGAATTTTGATGCCTCCCAATTTGACTTCATGTGTTATAGAAGATTTTAATACTTATTCTACACAAGCTGTTGACATAAACAAAGCAACAGCAAATCTTTGCTGCAATTGACACATGGGATATAAAATATAACAATTTTTCGAATCACATGCAGAGCTTGTCGATGCTCCTGTCAAGCTATCGACAATTGTACACAATTTGATAACTTGATCCAAAAATAATCTGACACTTAATTTGTTGTCATGTTGCATGAAGTTTGACAGGTGCAGCATTAGAAAACAAGCCAGGGTGCTCTAGCCGGGAGTACCCGACTAGGGTATACCCTGAATCTTCTTCTACCAACGACATATGCAGCTCCTGCTAGAGTGCGGCGGTTATAAAATGAAAGTTACTTCATCTGCACATACTTTTCTAGAAGCTACATGCTAAATCTGGTGACTCAAGCTCTTCAAACCAAAAAGATTTGCTCAAAAAACAGCATATCGATATCGATTTAAATCGAAACGGGACAAGTTATCGATTATTGAAAGCAAACAAGTACTGCATGGGACTGACGGGCAGATGGGCATGGCTAGATAGACTCGGATATTGATGCTGATCAAGAATATATGCACTTTATGGGGTCGGAGATACTTCCTTCTGCCTGCTACGTACATTTGCACAAAAACATTATACCCTTTTTTACAGTTTTCAATGGGTTCAGGCTATAAATAAAAGGGCTTATTCTCTGGCCTGACATGTGTATCCTTATCTGCCTGTCATTTAAGACAATCTGCAGCAACTTTCTAGCTATATTGTGGTTGCAAGCTTGGCAGCTCGTCGTTGTCGTTAGTTTTGCTAATAAATCAAATGCTATTTGCTTAAAAAACTTGTGGCGATTTCTCTCTCTGAGCAATTGATATGCCTGGACATGCAGGCACTTTATCATTTATGTATATACACGTTAAATGCCGTGTATTAGGTTTGATTTTGGCCCACTTCAATTTGGGCGCGACGATGTCAACCTATATGTAATAGCAACTTGTCGAAGGTAGTGGGGGAGCGGGGGCGGGAGGGGGGCGTACTTGTACAAGTATTTGCTGCTCGAACACACACACACACACACAATATATATATTTCCATGCACCACACAGGCACACATGCAACATGCAGTACTTGTTACATTTTACTTGCAACACGACCGCCTGCTGTTTGCCAGTTGGGCAACGGATATTGCGACGGTGTTCGTGAGGCAACAGTTACGCCATCGAAATATACATAAGTACTTGCAACAACTCGTTATTGTATTTTTACTAGCATACGTTCCACATATTGAAGCTCTCTTGTGCATGGAGACTATTGCAAAAACTTGTTTTGAATCTTCAGGTTCTACAGTACATTTGCATTTAAGTAAAGTTTATGCGCGATTGAACTGTGAAACGGAACAAATTTAATCTTTTTTGTGTTCGGATTTTGGGTCCCAAAAAACAAACATAATCTTTTGAAATTTTTCGATTACATATTTTGTTTTTATTAAAAAGGTGTTTAGGAATTTTATTTTTTATTTCATAATTATTTGAGAGGCTAGTTAAAATAAAGCAATAGTGCTTTATTTTTTTTCCGCTTTATTATTTTTCCACCAAAAATATTTATTTAATATAATTAACATAACAAAATATTAACCAATAAAATATGACGTAGAGGGATTTTTAAAAAATAGGCCTGCAAGTTCTTTGCATTTTAGCTATAAATATAGTAGATAGTATGGAAGCTATTAAATGTATAACTATAGTAGTTATATAAAATATTGTAATCTGGCGAATTTTGAGAAAAAATAAGAAATGCAAGAAGCCAAAAGATAAATCAAATAAAATTTACGGTGTTCACTTTAGCACTTGAAAAATAGAGAAACTTTTATTAGGCGTCAAAGTGAGAGCAATTGTTCGCTTCAATCTATGAATTAGCGGCCAGTGAAAGACATTTGAGCAAACATGTCCGAAATCTAATTTCTGATCAATTTATCCTATATCAAATTTCATTTGAGACAACCTTCACTAAGCGTAAGCTGGATGGAGATAGAACGGGTATACCTTAATTCTCCTACAAGCATAAATCCAAATGGAAGTGACGGGCAAAGCCGAATAATACTTGCGAATTGTTTATTTAATTATTTTGCGTAAAAGTCCATTAACTAGCTTTGCTAAAATATATTGCGCACATTTCTGAGCTTAGAGATTACAATGCAGGACAATCTGATGGACGCGATGCTTCCAATTACTTCCCGCAAGCTTCTATCTAAACTTCAGACTATGCTCATTGCTATATTATTATATTATTTATTGTATTATATACTATTTATTACATTATATAACAAACCAAGTTCCGACATACAAACTTATTCTGTACTATGAACCGAACTATTTACCCGAGAACATCATATCCGGAACCAGAATGAGCCAAAATTTGTTAAAACATGCTTTTCAATTTATCTAGTCATATTTTGGAGTTACAAATATTGGTTTTGCAGCCGAATAGATTCTAGGTAATTCCTTTTCCTATGTAGTAAATACGTTCTCAAGAGAAACTTGGCCTAACGTTCGTTTTCCTTGTCAATTTCTATTTGAAGCTGGAGAATTTGAGCGATTTAAATTTACGAAAGAATGTCTGATAATTCCATGCCGCGTCGTATTACTGTAGACATTCAAATACGTAAATAAAAATGGATATTTGAGTGAATGCTGAGAAATAACTTAAACTGATGATAAAGCATGTAGGAGGCAGCTTCTGTAGCCAAGGCGGCTGTATCAAGGACATATCCAGCTGCTGAATATCCTTTCGGTGCAGTCACAGTTGACTTGGCTTGCACTCAATGGATATATGTGTGTGTGTGTGTGTGTGTGTGTGTGTGCATGCCCATTCATATTTCTTTTCATTTGCCACCTGCTGTTGCCGTTTGTTACTTGCCATTCAGTTTTATGAACAAGCATTTCAATTCGCGTTTAGCGGAAGTGGCAGCGAAATTGAATCGCAGGCTGTAATTTCCGCTGCTCACAAAAGCAGAAGAAGGTGGGCAACACGAGGTTGTTGCGGGTGCCGCGGGGGCAAGGGCAGGCTGCAAGTGGATACATGGATACAGAGACGACGCCAGAGCGTCGCTCTGAAATATTAAAAACTAACTAAATGTCAGTGGTGTTGTGTGTTGAAAGCCATTAGTGGCAGGTATTTAAAAATTAAAAGCAGCACAAATATACATTCACATACACACACACACACACACACACACACACGTACACAGTCGGGGTACAAGTCCAAGTAATCCGTGTCGCCCACACAGCCCTTTACACGCAAGCCGAGCTGCTCCCAAACAATTTGAATTACTTAATGAACTCACTTAGCCAACATGGTACAGTACGGAACGGCGGACTGTGAACTGTGGGTTGTATATAAACTATATAAATTCTTACCTCATAGGAGCCGGCCGTATCGAGTATGTCCAGTGTTAGGCTAACGCCCGCAATTGAAAAGTTCCCCTGATGCATTTCCTCGATGGTCCTTTTATATTTGGTGGTAAATGTGTTATATAGAAATTGTGTGATTATCGAAGTTTTTCCCACTTTAGCCGCGCCCATGACCACAATTTTATGACGTGCATTTGCCGGTCCAATGGCATCGTCCACTGCATTATTCCGGCCCACTCTGTGGGAGAGACAGACAGAGTGCGAGTTAGTGTGAAAGTGAGTCAGAGTTGATGTTCGAGCAGAAAGAAGCGAGACTGAATAAGTGAGTAGTGCCACAGCAAAATTGACTTGCAAGTTGAGTTAACTTAAATTGAATTATTTTTGCGTTTTTCATGTTTATTAATTTAATCGTATATACGCAGGCAGCAGTTACATACAGCACATACATATGTATGACTGAGGAGGCTACTGTGTGGCGCATAATAATTAATCGTGGGACTGTACAGAGGGGGCTGTAACTCTTCAATTTCCACAGCGACTCATTAAAACTGTGCGCTACATTTAAAATTAATCATTTTGCCGACAGGACAAAGACGAGGCGCCCAAAGACTACAGGAATGTGTATGGCAGTGTACAAAGAGATATATACATGCATAAATATATATGCATATAGATATACAGTCTGATTCATGCCTGAAACGGCAGCGTTTTATAATGAGTGATATTTATTCAGGTGTTCAACGAGCTACCAGCTTTGTGGCCCACAAATGAACTCATTTCATTTACTCTTTTTCACTTTTCAATTCTTTTCAATTCCTCTTTGTGTCGACTTCGTCAACGTTTCACAGGCCCGGCAATATACTGACAATAAGTAAAACTCTTAAGGCATTATTTGAGCTCCGCTTAAGTTAAATTCTTAGAATTCGTTAAGCTTTCTCTTTGACCAAAACTTCACCAGGTCTTCTCGCGGGCAATGCGTGAGCATCCAGGGCGTCTGCTGCCTCTGTCTATCGACAGCCTTCGAGATGAAAAGTTGCACAGCTATCGATAGTATAGAAAACTAATAAGACATCCTTTATTTGAATGGGATCTTTTTGTAAGTCTTGATGTTGTTCCATGTTGTTTATCGATTGTAATAATTATCGGTAGTTTTTGGCAGTTATATTTGCTAAGCTTGAGGGCCGCCTCACCCCTATGTCATCGTCATATTTTGCTTTGAGTTTGACAAATATTTCAACTTTTTCATTGCCAAGGATTTTATCTATTGATTGATTTTACCTGTGACTGGTAAAGAGCTTTCGGTTTGCTGCAAATTTAAAATTGCTCAACCCAGCTCAGTTTCAGATGTTGGCCAACACATTGAACGGCTGAGGGACAATAGAATTTCAATTTCAATTTCGCTGGGGCCCAGAGCAGCTGGCAGCCGACAGTTTGATCTAAACAACTTATAAAATTATTCTTTCCTTCAACGAACTGAAGCACGTTGAAGTAAATACAAGAAAAAATAAATAAAAATAGAAATAAAAAAAAAAAAAGCTGAAAATAATCAGCGCAAATATGCGGCTCAAAGGAATAAATGAAGAGCACGAGCAAAAACAAGCAGTAAAAGCAACAAAACATAAAATTCTTTACTTGGCTGGCGAAACAAAAGGAAAGTATGCAAACGATGGTCCCTTCGTCCGGCGATGCGGGCGCCAGCGTCCAAATCTCTGTCCACTTTCGTGTCCGGGCACCGGACAGCAAATCAGCCAGAGAAATGTCTTATCATTGTTGGTATGGGTATGGGTTCGCCTTGGTGGCCAAATAATAAGCAACAAGAAACTGCCTTAAAACTTGAAACGTTGCTAAAAGGTAATTGTTGTGGGAAAAAAAATTAATCTGGCAAATGCCGTTGGGCAGCCAGCCCCCACCATAGTTGGCGGACATACAGGTGACATCTACTTCTTGGCCAACCAGCTGGTCTTATTACCACTCTTGCTTACAATTTGTGACAAAATAAGAAAACAAAAATGACAAGAAATTACAAACATTTTTGCTCTGCTGCTACTCTACACAATTGCAAACTTGGTCAAGCCCTTCGTAACTTTTAAGATATTCTGCCATGAAACTTTTTATTAAAACGCAAAACAGTATTTTTAGTTTCTTTTTTTAAATAGATTTAATATTTGACATTGCGTTTAAAAATTACTAGCATCTTGTATATAGGTTATTTGTATATAATTAATAAATATTTGTCACATTTCCCATTTTTTGTTAGGCTGAAAGTTTCTGTTCCTCCTGCCTCCTGAAGCTTATTTCATTCATCTGTTATTTCCAATAAATACTTCACAGGCATAACGCGGCAACTGCCTTACTTTACTCGGAATATATAAATAATCACAAGCTTAATGCTTTGAAATCTGGAGATAATTAAAATACAATCCGCGCTTTATTTATTTCCCTACAGGCCTATGTACTTACATATGTCAGCGGTTTAATGTTAAATTCCCATTTTAAATGAAATCTGTTTTTAATTAACATAATAGAAAATATATGAAAGATTTACTTTAACGAACATTGAATACCCTTTCCTGAACATGTTGCTGCTGTGATTTATTATTTATGAGCTACTAATAAATAATGTCTATAGGCAATATAATAATAATAATAAATTCAAGAGTATTTGCATTGAACTGAGTCAGTCGGAACTTAGTGAACCAAGAAGTCGGTTATCGAAATAAAATAAACTAACAGAATTTAAGAATCAAACTGTGTAGCACGTGATGCATTTCGATTAAAAATCAAAACAATTACAGCTAGAAATATAATTTTTGGATTTTAAATGTAATTGAAATCAAAATGCAGAACATGCATTTGTATATACACTTCATTTCATATTTTAGAAAAGAATGCATGCGAAAAGTTTAAAGTTCACAATACATTCCTCTAAAAAACTCAAGGTAAGCACTTTGCTTGTAATTCCCAAACGGCTTAACCGCAGACCGTGGTTAGCTTCTGTTGCTCTTGTCGATCGGCATGACATGACACGACTTATCTTTACTTGTGTGTATGTGCGTGTGTGTGTGTGTGTGTAGGCACGTATACGGTTTGTTTGCATATGTATTTGAGGCTATAACTTACTTGTCACGCTTGGGTTTATCCTCGGCGCTGTCATCCTTCATGAACGAGGGCTGCAAGCTGAAACGTCGGCGCAAGTGACGGCCACGCATTTTGCTGCTGTTGCTCTTTGCTGTTAGTGTTGTAAAAGGTGCTAGCTTGGCAAAGGAGTGATGTGCGTTGGTAACTGTAAATCAGGCGAAAAATCCCGTTATATGGCAATGGGACCTGCCACCGCTGAGTGCTAACTCGCTCTCGCACGCTCTTTATCTATCTCTCACTTTCTTTTTCGCTCGGTTTGTCTGTCTGCTCCTTGATGTGTTCCTTTTGGTTTGTGGCTTTGCTGTCAGTGTTGCATAAATTTCATAGAATTTCCAGAGCCGCTCAAAAGACGTGCTGCACTTTATTAAGTATTTTTAAGCTGTCGCGTTTGTTCCACGAATGTTGCTGTAATTGTTGCTGTAAATGTATTTTTGTAATTCGCATCTGTGTGGTGCTGGCTAACTGTCAGGTTTGTTAGCGAAGGGGACCGACGGTGCGGGCTCTGTAAGTTGGCTTAGTTCATTACTTATTAGCCCGACAGCGTTTTATGCAAATATTTGTAGCGCGCTCTCGTTTCGTTTTAATTATGTGGCCCCAGCCAGCTCCACAAAAATGTAAATGTACCTGCAAATTGAAAATGTCCGTAAGTTGAGTGCGAGAAAAGTAAAAAAAGAAAAATATAAGAATATAGCCATAAATTACAAACTGTTTAAGTGTTGTGCAGGCCGTCAACAGTGTCTAGACAGAGATGGCAATAGGGCCGGCGGCGACAGAGCCGTGTGCCGAAGCTCCATTAAACTGTTTTGTTTATCTAGAGGGCACGGCCAGGCTTTTGGAATTTTCAAAAATCGTCTAGCTTTGGCATGGTAAAGATTAAATACCTGGGCACAATTTAATATAAATTAAATGCAGTGTAACAAAATCGGCGTAAAAGTGTTGTCAACTTTGCCAAAGTCAACTTTATGGGCAGCAATTTATTTGCCCTGCTAGAGCGCAATTTCCGAAAACTGTGTTAAATCAACAAATACGATTTCCGGCCAAATTCTAAAGCCGGCTGTCACGTAAAATTCATGAGCTCTTAGCATGTACTTTGCTTTGCATTTCACTCGAAAAATCGGAGAGCACAACAGAGCTGCAAAGATTTAAGTTTTGGATATGAAATGTGCTTTAAACTTTAGAAAACTTTTGAGGGGGTCGAATTAACTACAACTTAACACAAATGTGCTGATGACAAAAGACTTTAATTAAATTAGAATATTTGTTGTTTTCTGTAATAAATTTACTTCTGTTTAACAAACAACCGATACTGAACTTTCAAAGTAGAGTAAACAGGAAACAGCTAAGCGTGAATCATATTTTTGTTCAAAAAATGATTTTCTTTATTTTTGGCAAATAATTTTGGCAAATTATTAGGTTTTTCAAAGAACGCCAATGCGATTGTCTCAGAACTGTGAGTATATATAAAATGTTTAAATCCTCTAAATTCTTTTTTGTTAATTTGCATAAATGGGATGCACACATGCACAGAGACATGGCGGCCAGGGACTGTATATATGATAAAGGAGAAAATACCCTGTGTTAAGCTAAAGCATTATTGTCGTTGCCAACTAAGATAATTAAACTTAAAACGCAACCATTTGCCGAAAGTTTAACAGTTGGCATCTGCACTGAAGTTGTGCGAAAAGTAATTAGACAAATTTATGTGGGGCGTGCAGCTGAAAGCTGCTGCTGATGCTGCTGCTTAATTTTGTTTATGTTTGCTGCCAAGTTGAGCAAAAGTAGCTGAAAGCCGACACCCAAGCTGCCGCGACCCAGCAGAGCTCTGTAAGAGGGGGTGAGAGCCCCGAGAATCCGGCACAAATGAGTAGCACATGGTTAACAAAACCCAGTTGCCAGCTTTGCAGACATCATTTTCTTTTTTTCTTCGCGTTACAATGAAATTAAGAAAACCCGACTGGAGCATACCCGCACCGAGTTCCTATGGAAGACAACTAAGCGATAACGAGCATACAATTTTAAAAATCCAGGAATTTGCTTTAGGTAGAATGTATTTGAGCGGAGAGCATGTAATACTATATAAATATGAATAACAAAATTGCCAAGCACGACATTTTCATTAGTCGAATATACCCTTTTGTTGGGGTGTAAGCGGCATATTACGATTAAAACAACTTAATGCAAAGTTTGCAAAAGGCACAAAAGCAAAGAGCAACAGTTCGTAAAGTTCAGAGGCTTAACTAATGTTTTATTAAAGAGCCAAGAAAAATTAAAGCATTAGATTAAAAAATATGTGTATTTAAATTAAAACTTGTTAAAGAAAAGCTTTGTCATAAAACAATAATTTTATTTTAACAATTGTTACTTATTTGAATTATCTCATTCTAATTTAAATCACATGTAAATACTGAAATTTCAGCTTTTCGAAAACGATCTACACATAATTAAATGAATCGTAATAGAAAACAGATCTGGTACAAAATATATCAAATACTGTCATTTTGTTCAGATGCAATCAAATGTATTTCCATTGAAAACTTTAATTAGAATTTCAAACGTAAGACCTATAAAGTGACAAAAAAATATATAAAATTCAAAATAAGCTATTTATATATATATATATATTTATATATATGTATATTATACATATATATACATATAAAGTTGTAATAGGTAAAACTGCGTATTAAATCGAATAGACATCAGGTTTTCAATGGCAGTTTTCTTTTGATTCCTTGGAAAAGCCAACACTGCCACAACCATCTGTAAATTGTGTTTGTTAGTGAAAAGCCTGTTTGGCTGACATATGCACGAATTGTTCGTGTCAACGATTGAACTCATTAAAACCGACTAATGTGAGCTATACAGAACCATACTGACAGATGCCGCATACAGCAGGGGGTCACATCAAAAGCAGCAATTGAGGTGCTTTTACATTCAAAAATTCCATGGAAAACGGAAAGCAAATACATGCGTGCATGCATAATGCGTGCACACATACCTACATATAAATCTATATGTGCGTATGCGTATGCATACATATCTGTATAGATATGCTGCCTGCTGCTCTGCTTTGACAACAACAACAACGGTTACACAGCTTCATTTTGCATTTAACGCGCTCCATGATCTTCTGGAATCCGAAAAGTCGTTTCGAATTGCTTTGACAAAAACTTAAGACCAAAATATTCAAATGCCTGCAAATTGCATTCAGTTAAATCCCGCTCAGACTCGCAGATAACAGGCCAATAAGCTGCTAAGTGCTCAAATTATTGGGTATTGGGCATTGTGGCAAACAGAAATGACCAAAATGTTAAGTATTAAGTTTCTTAGTACTCATGTTTGCATATGTCACCTGCTTGTGTATTAAAAATATATTGCAAAAATGTTAATGATTTTTGAAGAATACATTTAAAGTCGAAAATGAGTGAGTTTTAATTATTTTTAAATATTATTTTACGTGCTACAAAAACAAAATTTATTCCTTTTGTGCAAGCTTTTGCATATGAATCGCTTATTTTTGGGGTCAAATTGAATTGCACTCCAAGAACTTCCAATAAATTGTTGACATATATTTAAAAACATATTCTTTTTCAATTTTTTCACAACTTTGCTACCCAAAATTTATGCGCTTAGACTCATTTAACGCCTTCTGAACCAAATATAATTATCAAAGTTTACATTATATAAATTTATTAATATAATTTTTTTTGTAAACTATGAATTTTTTAGTATTATCTAACTAAAACAATGTTTGTACATTTTTTTTTTAAATAATTTATGCTTTTAACATTTTCATACCAAAATAGAGGTTTTAGTTTGTAACACAATTTGTGACCAATAAATATGAACGAACGTACTTAAGAGAATACTTTGCGTATTTTTCATAGCATGCTTTTGTGGGCATTTCTCCGAATCTGCTGTCGCTGACAGACGCTCATAATTGTATTAGAGAAATCGGCATGGAATACCAGTGGGAACTGTTTTTGGATTGCTCCACAAGGATATTGAAACTTTTATGCCATACTTGTTTTTTCTTTTTATATATATATATATATATATACATTTTTTTTTTGGCTTTTTGTGGGCTTGTCGCCGAGGGAAGCATTTTGAGGCTTGAGGCTTGAATCTTGAGAGTGGTTGGTATGGTTGTTTAAATGCGCTTAGGCATGCCCAAGTTTCGCCTTTTTGGGGCAGAGGGGATGTTTGTGTGTGTGTGTGCGTGTGCGTCTTAAGACGTTTTTGCGAGCATAGCTGTCCCACTTCCGGCTTACCCACTGCCCGCCGCCCCCTGCTCTTGGTAACTTTCGTTGCGGCTTAGACGCAAAAATTTGCTCAAGTTAAACGAGTTGAGGAATATTGACTGCAGCCAGTTGGGTAAATGGATTACAGCATGCCGGACCAGGATATAGAGAGCCTGTTGTTGTTGCTGCACTGAGAATTGCTGCTGGACACAGATAGATAGCTGTAGAGAAAGAATGTATGGCATTCCCGATGGTCAACAAATATTTTTGCGGTTTCTCTTACAGCAAATTTGGGTTCAATTTTGGCATACAGTTCAGTTAAATGGCAAGAATCAATGTGAGCGGATTGCAACTTTTGATTGGAAAATACCGCATATTTGAACCTATGCCGTTTGCAATGATGCAGTTTGATTGAAATTATGCCTTTCCATGTGCGAATAATTGACATTTTTGTATCTGCCATGGCAGCAACGGACACATTAAAGCAAAAGTTTTATGCTTTTGAGTTGAGCCTGAAGAATGTTATTCATTTTAATTACAAAATTATGGCAATTAATACGAAAATCCCGTTATAACAGTTCATTAATATGGCATTTAATTAATTAACATTTATTCCGGAAAGAAATTGGCTTGCTTTCCAGTTATGCAATGCCATTTTTTTAGCATAGAAGGAGGAAAAGATTTCAGAGCAAGTTCCGTATATTAATAAATGAATGCATATTATTGAAAATATACATAAATTTCTTATATGCATTTACACCTAAGCTGAAAGAAAATCGCGTAACTATGCGTTTCATATTTGCGACGAAATAAGAATTATATAAACAAATCAAATAATTGATGTTTGGTTTTAGCTCTTGTTATGTGCTATGAACTCGACAAAAGGATTTGGCCTTATCGTGTCAGCACAACGTGCTGCTTAACACTATATATAGCTTTTGGGTTCGAAGAAGTCCTTTGTTAGACACACACACCTACACACACACACACACTAAGGCTATAAAATGTAGCGACACATTGTAAACTTTTCAGTTGCAGCTGAATCTTGATTTGTATGGGCCAACAGACAAACTGATGGTGTTTGGCCTTCGCATTTATTACGTGCAGCCTTTGGTTGCGTGGCCAATTTGAGGATAATTTATTAACTTGGTTCGTTCCGTTAATGCAATTTTCAGATAAATAGCCACGCGCCATAAAATTACCGGCTATAATAAATAAAAATCATAATGCGGATGGTCGGGTAGTCTTGCAATCGTAAAGTGAGAACAGAAAGCGAAAATGAAAAAAAAAGAATTTATATATATCTATATATATGTATATGTGCTTGTATAAAAAAGAAGAGAACATAATAAAGTACCGATAGCTCTCCGTAAAGTGAGGGAG